AAAGAGAAGTTAATTAATAAGTTGCTAACAGAGGTAACCAGGCTTAAAGACTTTTGACAGCGTTTGTTGATGGCAACACCGAAACAAAAAGGGGTCAAAAGTGAATAGACAGCGTACATTTACGTTACTGCTGAAGGGAGTTGCAGCCGTAACCTGAATGAGGAATAAATGTCAGTTGTATACTTTTTCTACTGCAGACAAAAACCAGGTGTTACTGGGTTTTAGTAGTTTTTGGCCCAGAAAGGCTGTGCTGACTCTTTTACTTACAATGGCATAATTTCAGCTTATGACCACCTCTGTTTCTGGCATAAATGTGCAGCAGAAATAACTCAGTTTTCATCTCCATAAACTGTTAACAGAAAGCCGCAAGGTCAAATACCAGATAAGAGTTTATACTGCCTTTTAACCTTAAAGTTTAGTTTCACTCTCATAGTTTTTACACATCGTTTCCAGTAAAATTCCACAATTTCCCCAAAGAGTTGTTTAAACATAAACAAAACTAAATGAAGGAGTAAAGATAGATTTGTCCGGTGAATGTAAAAACTGCTCAGGTGCTCAGGTTTTTCTTTTAACATATTTGCTCTGCAAATTTGTCAAACTTACACATTTTGAAGCTCTGTTCATATCTCGCTCAACTGCATATAAAATTTACAGCGGGGTGAACATGAGGAAAAGATCACAGTTCTGTTCAAACAAGAAAACTTTGCCTCCTGCTGGACAGCAAAATGTTCTCATATATATGACAGTGAGTTGAATTATACAACCTCTGTTGTTTGGCTTCCTTCATTTCTCTTAGGAGAGCTCAGATTGAGACTCACAGAACTTCCCATTTTAGACAATTTAGACCATAAGCAGTTTAAACACGGTGAACACAAAATGACACTTGTTAAAACAATTTTGGCATTCAGTACTTTCTAAATTTATAGTCGAATTAAAAACTTCCAATTAAAAAAACCATACTGAGAGACCACCATTTTGCCGATATGTTTTAATCAATATTCAGATATATTAATAATGCAACCGAAAAACACATATAGCATACCAGCTGTACTTCAGTTGAAGTACTCTTTTTTTAAACTTCTTTCGTTATCTCAAGGGGTGAGCCACTCGTTCTGCCACAGTACAGAGTGTGACATTTACTAAATCCTGAAGGCTTCTACCTTTTGTTGTATGCATTTAAACAACACATTAAAGTTGGAATGTTCCTGGTGGAGCCTGTCACATTTCCCAGGTAAAGCAGATGAATAAATAAAGCACTGCTTTTGGCTGAAACGCCCCTTTCTGTGCCTGATTTGTTGTTGCCTTGAGTTAGATTCTGATCTCTTTGTAGACCCTCACCCAACAAGCATTGACCTTCTGCTCCGACATGTAAAGAGCTCCGTGAGATCAGAAAAGAGAGGGGGGGGGGCTGTGAATAAAGGCATCACCAGTGCAAGCAGCCAAGAGACTTCATCCACTTCACTCCGCACTTCTCTCCCTCTCAGTCTGGTTTTAACTGTGTTCTACGAGTGTGTCTAGGAGGTAGGTAGCTTGTTGGCGGCACAAAGGAGCGGTTCTGTAATAAAAACAGCTGTCTCTGGTGGTCTTGGTGTAATTGGGATTGTTAACATGGAGAGCTCCTGAGGGAGGCTGGGAAGAGTATGTCTTTGTGTAAAGCACACAGACACCTCAGCAGCAGTCCTTGATTCGATGTAAGTAAGAGAGTGGGCAAGAAAGAAAAAAGCAAACAAGTCACCTGAGTTATGTCAGCCCTTGCTGCATGAGCTCCCTATGTTTTGCTTTGGCTTTCCTTTTATTTTTAGACAGTGCAGGATTATTTGTTTGTAGTTAAGAGTCTTCACGTACGAGGAATCCTTTCTTCCTCAATTCCAAGGAGGGATTCTCTTTTAAAAGGAGAGACATGACTGAACCTTCCAACACTGAGACAAGTCTTTTCGTGAGAGCAACATTCCCTCCAATTACTGTATCAGCTAAAAGAAACAAGTTGCAGCAAAAATATTGTGCAAAACTGGAAGGATATTCAATTGAATACTGACTAAACTTTTAGTAGGATGGCAAGTTTTTCATAGGAAGGTCCTTTGATAGGCCACAATATTTGCTATTTGCTATCGGCCTTTTGAAATAACTGAAATTACATTAAGTGTTGTCGTTTTCTCTCAATCCAGTCTAAGTAAATTATTTAAGATGTGAAAAAGATATTTGAAGTATAACATGCAGAATGTGTTTTCAATATAAATGTTGAACCATAGAAAATTAAAACAAGCTGCTTTAAATGCAAGAATTATTTAACATGAATATACAACTATAACATGTGTCTGATACCAGCTTAAGTATCTAGAATTGCTACTTAATAGTGTTACTATTTTCCATGTCGGACCCTTCAAAGGTAATTCTGTTAAACATCCTGACACCATGTTCTCCCTAAAACGTGAGAGAGCTGTTGTCAAAGGAGGCAAAAGCCTTTAGGTATGTGGAGGCTCCTCACGAAAAGGGTTTGGAAAGTGGACTTCAAAGTCAATTTGTTGGGAGAAGCTGGGGGTGATTTATTTGACTTAAGATTTACTTTTTTGTGTGTGTTTTATTGTGGATGAAAATTTCATACGGCGATTTAGAGGTGGTGAAATATAAATGATTACTTTAAAGTTTCATCATAAATCAGTCTGTCGGTATATGTGAGCCGACACTGATCGCTCCTTGATGTCTCCTGAGCCTGATCCGCGTGTCCCGGAGTCTGGAGGTGGCTCCAGGAGCGCGTGTTTGTCCCACACACACATCTCTGCAGCTGGATGTGCTCCTGGAAGCCCCCAAAAAAGCCCCAAAAAAGCTGAGGCGATGCAACCCCAGCAAAACACCTGCCGTGGCATTCGCAGGGACGCACGTGTCCCACAAAAAATGAATAAAGGAAAAAGGACATTTTTAAGAGAGGAAAAAAGCCACGACCTGACATCCGGAAGCCCAGTCCCACCGCACAGAGGAGATATCTTCCACCCGCCGCACTAACTCCTCTGTGACGCACCGGCTTACACACTTAGTTTTATTGGAGCTGTTGTCACACACCAGGGCTGCGATGTCTCGCCTATAAAGGAAACACACACACTTAATAGTCCGTAAAAAATTTTAAATTAATATCAAAAGATGGAGCACATTTAAGGACATCAAGAATCAGCTTCTGTGTTTAAAAAAAACAATGATAATTTCGTCACCTTTTACAAGATGTGTCACATTTTCGAGATGTGGCTTATAGAGAGGAGGCATTGTTTTAAAGATCTGTAGCCATAAAATGAAATCAAAGTTATTTTTTTTTTAAAAGGAATATTTTTCATTGATTTCTTAACTCACTTGGCTTACTTGGGCTATATCATAGCAACTAAAGATGATATTAAACAGTTCAGACACCCATTGTTAATTACTACGTGATTAAATGTTGTAATTATATCACCAATAACGTGGCTTAATTAGCAGAGAGATAAGATAATAGCCTGCTATGACAGGACTATAGATTTTCAATAAAAAAGGGCTCATTATCTAAAAAAAAGATTATTAGGAACCATTCTCAATGCATGACGACAATGATAGCACGAAGTGATGCCAAATGGGTTGAAAGGTCTTCTCAGTTCCTCTGTTATTTCCCATCATTTTTAGGGAACTGTTTCTTTTAAAAATAATAAAACGGTCAAAATTATTTTAATAATATAGACAATAATGTTAGTAAAATTCAAATATTTGCATTGCTCCGAGACATTTCTTTCTTTTTAATTTGTACATTAGACGTAGTCATAAAATGAAGACCAAACATTTTTGTCTCAACGCTAATAAGAGATAAGAAAAGTGGAGCTGTCCATGGTTTTAATTTTCTTTCTCTGCTGCCACTGAGACCCATTTTCCGATCTGGCTTCTTTTTTTTTTTCCTTTTTTCTAAAAAACAATATTCAACAGCAATATCTTTTCAGGTACAATAAGACCGGAATTACACTTTTTTTCTTCTTCTTCTAAAAAGCCCCTGATTCCCATAAGAAGCGGTTTTGGTAACGAGGTATTGGTGATGAAGTAGAGTTATTTGAAATAAATGCCTTCTCGCAGACTGCCCATGCGCAGAGTCCCCAGCGGCTGCGGCGGTGGTGGTGGTGGTGTGGCTAATGAAGAATAATAAATCATGAAAGGGTTTTTCAGGTGCAGCTCAGAGGAGTGTGTATGTGAGAGGGCGAAACGCTGAGAAGGAAAGAGAGGGAGGGTGCACGGGTGCGTGTGTGTGTGTGAGTGTGTGTGTGTGTGTGAGAGAGAGAGAGAGAGAGACTGAGTGAGATAGAGAGGCGGAGAGAGATTCAGTCTGCCCTTCGCCTCAGAGCAGAGGCAGTCCGGGTCCCCGCAGCATTCAACCTACTGAAGAGGTACAGTACAGAGACTGTCACCGCCATTACTTCTTACTTACGGTCATCTCAAGACGGGAAACTTTTCGGCAAAAAAAAAAAAAAAAAGCTGGCGCGTCAACGAAAGCGGCACCTAACTTGAAGTATTTTTGGAGAATCCTAAAAGACGGAGAGAAACTTTATTTCATTTTTTTTTTCCAGTGTCGTCCACGAGGAACTTTGCCAACAACAACAAAAAAAAAATACTCGTATCCAAGCCAAAAAAAAAAGAAAAAAAAAGATTATCATAATACAAAGTGCCGGAATCTGAAGGAGAAAGCTGAAAATATTTTTTTTTGAGCAATCACGCCAAAAGTCCATAAAGGGAAGAGGTATTGGCTGCGTTTTTAGTCTGACGGCTGGTTGATGGCTCTGATATCTCACTTTCCAAAAAAGACGAGACACCTCCACGCCGCCGCACGCAATCATAAATAGATGTGACTCTAGAGTTGGACCACCGTCTTCAGCCTAGACTTTATTCGACGGCGGACTCGAGGTTCCTGCGAAGCAATTGGGCTTCAACTCCCGAACCGAGGGAGGGCGGAGTCTTAACTTATTAAAAGGAACTTGCTGAGGCTTTGGACGGCAGCAAATATGATGATGATGTCTCTGAACAGCAAGCAGCCTTTCGCCATGGCCCACACCAGCTTGCCCGAGCCCAAGTACTCGTCGCTGCACTCTTCCTCAGCCTCCACCCTGACTTCCAACGCGCCCTCGTCGTCGTGCTCGTCCTCCCGGCACAGCAGCAGCATCATCAGCAGCAGTGGAGCCAGCAGCTCCGAGGCGATGCGCAGAGCCTGTCTCCCAACCCCACCGGTACGTATTCTGCATAATCACTGCTTAAAGGCACATTTTGACAGCCCACTTTTTTTTTTTTGTGCTTGATGTTTTTTTCATGTCTTCACAGCAAATCACCCAACACCTCCAATATTTTTTTTTTCCCTTCCTCTAGCTCAACTTATGTATTCAGTCGGCTTTTGCCTTTCGTATTAATTTTTATGACCTGGGATGTTGCATGTGTCTTGTTTTGTGTGCTCCCCCCTTTTTTTTTTTTAGGATTTCTCTTTTTTTTTTCGCATTCTGGAAATGTTTTAAACCGAGGAGTGGTGGGAGAATTCCCTGCTGACAGCTATGTGTGCATTCTATTTGCAATTGCAGAGCAATATATTCGGAGGCTTGGATGAGAGTTTGCTGGCCCGGGCAGAAGCTCTAGCGGCGGTGGATATAGTCTCGCAGACTAAGAGCCACCACCACCCTCCACACCACAGTCCCTTCAAGCCGGACGCCACCTACCACACCATGAACACGCTCCCCTGCACGTCGTCTTCCTCCTCCTCCTCCTCGGTGCCTATTTCTCATCCGTCCGCCCTGGCCGGCCACCACCATCACCACCACCACCACCACCACCACCAGCCCCACCAGGCTCTGGAGGGGGACCTGCTGGACCACATCACCCCGGGACTGGCCCTGGGAGCCATGGCGGGGCCGGATGGCTCGGTGGTGTCCACGCCTGCGCACCCTGCCCACATGGCGGGCATGAACCACATGCACCAGGCGGCCATCAACATGGCCCATGCCCACGGGCTACCGCCGCACATGGGCATGAACGACGTGGACGCCGATCCCAGGGATTTAGAAGCCTTCGCGGAGAGGTTTAAGCAGAGACGGATCAAACTCGGGGTTACCCAGGCGGACGTGGGGTCAGCTCTGGCCAGCCTAAAGATTCCTGGGGTGGGTTCCCTCAGCCAGAGCACCATCTGCCGATTCGAGTCCCTCACGCTCTCTCACAACAACATGATCGCTCTGAAGCCCATCCTGCAAGCGTGGCTAGAAGAAGCCGAGAAATCGCACAGGGAGAAACTTAACAAGCCCGAGTTGTTCAACGGCGCGGAGAAGAAGAGGAAGCGCACGTCGATAGCCGCGCCAGAGAAGAGATCGCTGGAGGCCTATTTTGCCATTCAGCCGCGTCCCTCCTCGGAGAAAATCGCAGCGATCGCAGAGAAACTGGACCTGAAAAAGAACGTGGTGCGGGTCTGGTTTTGCAACCAGCGGCAGAAACAGAAACGGATGAAGTACTCTGCATGCGTCTGAAAACGGTTTTGAACCACCCACCACCGAAAAGACTTGGAACTGTTTAAAGATGATTTGTAACATATTTCCTATCTCACACCGTTTTTTCAATCATCAATGACTTTGTGCTTTGAACTTCGAAAAATTCCTAAAAACGAACAATGACTGAAAATCTCGAAAAACACCCAGTCACGTCTTTTATTCGCTGAGAGGGAGACGTGGAGTCCAGTAAAGCATCGTTTGACAGAGCAAGTAAGACCACTGTTTCCACACTTACTATGCCTCACCTTTTTAATGTCAAGGTAGTGTGACACGCAGGACTCTATGCTTTTATTTTGGTCCATGATTAATTTCAGATGGCTGACTATAGTTTGCATTACTCCCAAATTAAATTAGATTTTTTTTTTGTTTACATACAGCGAGGCTATTTAATACAAAGCACTTGGTTGGTGACTATTGGTGTTTCTATTCTTGGCTTATGGGATAAGCTACATTTTTCCCCCCGAGTTCACGACAATGCAGTGTGACATTTATTCAGGGTCCATGGGGGGGATTAAGAGGACAACACACAACATGTTCTTGAGAGCTAATATTAGATTACTGCCAAATAACCTTCTGTAAATGACCGAGTTACTCGTCACACACTTCATTTTGTGTCTAAATGTGTAATTGATTTCACTTAATTTGTTACTTTGTGTGATCTAAGTCAGGGATCTATTTTAAAGATGCCCGGGGTTTGGACTGAGGTTAGGGTTAGCCACGAGGCCTCGGTACGCTGATTGATCGAATTAGAGACTCACTTCTAAGGATTTTATAGAGTTTTGCTATTTAAAAAAAAATAAAATCGTTTTTTTCCCCACCGGCTGCAGTAAGTTTACAATCCAGCGTGGGCCGGTGTCTTATGAACTATTTATTGAGTGAGGTCATGTTTACTTCATTATATATTTATTGGGATTCCCCCCTCCTGGTTTTGCTTGAGAACCTCAAATTCTGACAGCAAGTTAAACGTGTTGTTCTGGTTTAAAGGGAACCGACTGTGAAACAAACAGTCTCTAACATTTGAGATGGTACAATCGAGATATATATGAGATAGTATTCTCTTTTTAAATTATTTTATGTATGTTTTCTGCTATTTATTTGTATAGATATACGCGCATCATTATGAAGTCGTTGCTTGTTAAATCACCTTGTTTAAGTACTGTTTTTTCTTGAAGAGAAAAGAATCAGCTTCATGGAAGTATACGTGTACAATGTAAATATTTCATTGGAATAAGTCGATGCACATAAATATATCCGTACAGGTTTTTGCTGTATTGCTGTTAGCTGAGGTAACTTATTTCTGTAATGTATGTTGCTTTTGGTTCTCTGGTTGAATAATTCTATTAATTTCTTACATCCATGTAATTTTAATTTATTTAATTATTGAACTGCAATATGTGTTTCATTAAAGAACAAACTTTAACATTTAATCGGACGTTTTCCATGACTACACTGTGTAATCTGGCTCCTTCAGACATATTAATATTCTCTTATATATTCCTCTGTTTATTTATTGATGAGGAGGAGGGAAACGGTTTAGCTGAGGGCTACACAGCTCAGCTTTAAAAAAAAAAAGCTGCTTGTGGATTCTTGACGCTTATTTGAAATCAAATGTTTCTTTTGTGTAAAAGAAGCATTTGTTGTCACTCGTTACCAAAAAAAAAAGTGTCCAGGTTGGTTTGTAAACAAATCACGAGCAGGACACCATACCATTAAAACCCACCCACCCTATATCAAGCTTTTTCTGTCAATATTTTAGTTATTCAAGGTTTCCAAATGAATACTAACCACGGGAATGTTAAACGCAATGAGGAAAAGTCTCTCCCCCCACACCCTTCCCCCCTTTTTTTTGCTTTGAATTTCTGATTCCACTATCCTCTTCCGGGCCTGATCATAAAGCAGGCCCTGCAGGAACCGGTTTCTCCCCTCTCCATCAGTGTTAAAGACACACGTGGCTCCGCCAATGCCTTGCTTGCCAGCTTATACGGCTCACTGTTGCCTTACCTGAGAGCAAATGCTAATATTCTATTAGAGTCTAATCAGGGGGTCTGTGGAGAGCAAGATGGGTCCCTGGAGCGCAGGCTTGCCAGATGTCAGCCCGCCAGAAAAACAGCTCTCCTGCCAACGTGACCGTCTCTATTTAAATACACGCTCCAACATGCCTCGGTCGTGCGGGCTTTGAAGCAAAAAAAAAAAAAAAAAAAAAACCTTTAGTTGGGAGTTAGGGTTAGATATGAGGAGGAGGGTTGGAAAAAAAAAGAAGAAAGGAAGGAGAAAGAAGGGGTGCATTTTGAATGGCATGTCTACACCAGAGATGGAGCTTCTGGCCTCCAGGGCTGAGTGCTGAGCAAGCGTTTCAGCACCACGGACAGCTACCTGAGCCAAACATTTGCATTTCTGAAACCTGTCCTCCACGTTTAAACTGATTACTTACAACACACGGAATACATCAGCACGCTGTGATTATGACCCGGTGTCAAGTTGACTGAAATTGTAACGTTTGAGCCTCTGATAGTTTCGAGTTTAGTTGTCTTTACGTTGTTTCGAGACATAACTCACCGGCCAAAAACAATCCTTTGGCCTAAAACGCCCGGGATTCCTGTCACGATCTGAATTTTTAAAACGACAGATTCGTATCATCATTTAATTAAACCTACACACACGTTTCTCCTCAGCACCCCCCCACCCCCTTCCCACACACCTCATTGAAACAGCTCCTTTCTGCAAACCTTCATAACACCCCGCCAAAAGCTAAACATGTTCAGCCGCCATCTCGTGACAAATTAAGAGAAACGACCCTTATTAATGAGACAGCGGTGATGGTTCATCAATTAAAAGATGCTCCTGGTGAGTGCTTCTAATTTCCCCTGAACGAGCCATTCACTTAATACGTTAATAAGAGCGAATTATTAAATTACACATCAAATTATGAAAAGCAGATAATTATGAAGAGCGAGTTAAGTAGTCATTAGCTACCCCTGTTAATTACCGCTGGTCAGGGAGGGCTGCCGAGTGAGGGTCTCATCGGGAATTAAAATTAACTTTATTCAGAGAGCATGCCGGAGCTCCGTAAACGCAACCCGAGAGGCTCAGAGGCTCCAGACCACCGTTCCCTGCCTTTTTTCTCCCACATAGCGGAAGAAAATTGATTTGGATTCTTTCATAGCAAATCAGTGTGGCTCAAACACCGCACTAAATAAAAACAATAATAAAAAAAAAAAAAAAAAATGGATTAGCATGTGTGCGTGCAGCAGAGAGGCCTCTGCACGAGAAACAGAGAAAAACGAAAACAAGCTCGTTTAAAGATATTTACAATTCATACGCGAGCCAAATCATTTACCTTAAAGTCACAGACACGTGTTCAGATCCTGCTGCATGGGATCCATACATTTAGACACGCACACAGGACGACTCTGTGGGAGCTTTCCACAAAAACCAAAAGGGCAGCGCTGTTTCCTTTTGTTATAATTACGCCCTCTGTTTTATTTTTCTCTTTCCCCCTGAACATTTCCCCCCTTTCACAGGGATACTGATGAAAATTTAATGAAGCCAGGGACTGTCGGAGCTCCGCCCGGGGACCTGAGAGTAGAATATTTTAACTGTACATTTACGCCAAGTGTCTGCCTTCAAAGACGCGACTGCTCTCGAATTAGACGAAGTGCGAGCCATAAATTGAATGCGCTACACACTGTAGGCCTATAAGCCTTTATTTATCATCTGTTGACTCTTTTCACCGCCAAAACACTGCGCAAGGACCCGTCAGATGGCTGCCTGAATGCGAAGCGGCAATCGCCATTTGATATTGTCGCCAATCAGTTGTTGTTGATGCAATATTAATCAGCCATCAATAGTCATTAGTTTGTTAAGTGTTTTCCAGAATCTAATCGATGGAGCAGCACTGGATGGCTAGAAGGAGGTTGGTGGGATGCTTTTTGATCTAGGGTGGCATGCAAGGGAGGGAAAGCCACAGTGAATCTGCCAATGAAACAGCTCTATCTCTCTCCCCTCCACGCTCTCTCTGTTTCCGTCTTTTTTTGAAGGCGCGTGCACGCGCCAGCCACGTGCATGCTGAGGAAAATCAATGCCAGAGGAGAGATTTTTTTTTTGTGGTCAAGTAACTAGTATAACAAATGTAAATGAAGACACACACACATATATATGTGTGTGTATGTGTACATAATATATAAAATGTTTCTTAAAAATGATAATTCAATTTTGAGAATCAGATGCCCCCCAAATCCCTTTGTGAATTAAACTGTGAAATACCAATTCATTTTTAGTGAAAGGCCCACAAAGTTAAACCTTTGAATCTAAACAGAATAAACACCAGCTCTCTTACAACCGATACAAACATTACATACAAACATATTAAAGTATCGACCCTTTTTGAAAACACATTATTTGTATTGATATTTTCTAAAATGTATAGAAATAAATGGTCGCTTAATTATGTAATCACTAACTCTTAGTCTCAAATGTCAACTTTAGAATTCATATAATAAACTTCCTCCCAAAAAACAGAAGTTAAAAATGCTGTTAACTAAATGCCACTGGAAACGTTCACAGCCTTCATAACTCAAATAGTTCATGGACTTGATTGGAGAGTGGATACTGAAAAGCCACAGACACCACTAACATGTGGTTGACACCAACGCTATTATTTGGAGGCCAAACTAAGTTCCTGCCGTTCTCCTGAGCATGTTCAGCTCCATCACACATTTGTTATTGATGAGCTTTTTTTTATTTAATCATCACAATTCTTGAGTCATGTTGTTCTTTATCCATAATTTATTTGTTTCCCTTTTATGACCTTTTTTAAATTGAATCTAATTTAATATCTGAATGCGGAATTCGGGGTAATTTACTGTACAGTTAGATTTACCTGAAGTGTGGCCACTGTGTTGTAGATTCGCAGGATTATATCTGTTCTGTAAAGTACATGCAGGATTTAGCAAATCGCTGATGATAAATGGGTTATAGTA